TTTAGTGCTTTATTATATATATATTTTTAAATGGGTTTTTTTGTTTTTTTGGTTTTTTTGGGGGGGGGGATAATTTCAAACTCACAGTTTGCACAAACAGAAATTATAGCAAGAATATCCATAAACTCTTTACCCAGATTCATCTACTAACATTTTACTCCATTTGCTGTATCAGTTATGTAAGTGACTTCTTTCTTTTAGAGGTAATATTTACATTATATGTTATGTATGAAATATTTTCTGAATCATTTGAGGGTATATTATATACCTCATGGTCTTTTACCCCTAAATAGTGTGTATATCCTAAGAATAGGGACTTTCTTTTATATGACCAAGACAGTACATTTAATATAATACCTTTGTCTACTTTTCTGTTCATATTCTGAGTTTTTCAATTGGCCCAATAATGTCCTTTGTAGCGTTCTCCCCTTCCGCTAGAGGGCCTAGTCTAGGGTCAGGTATTATATTTAGTTGCCATGTCTTTTCACCTCTTTTATTTATTTATTTTTTAAGTTTGTTTATTTATTTATTCTGAGAGAGACAGAGACAGCACAAGCAGAGGGAGGGGTAGAGAGAAAGGGAGAGGGAGAATCCCAAGCAGGCTCCACACGTCGGCGCAGAGCCCAAAGTGGGGCTCAAACCCACAAGCTGTGAGATCATGACCTGAGCCAAAACCAAGAGTTGGACGCTTAACAGACTGAGCCACCCAGGAGTCCCTCACCTCTTTTAATCTGGAACATTTCCACTGCCCTTTTTAAGAATACAGCCCCACCACCCCTTTCAAAAACAGAATATTATGTTTTCAGGTTTGTCTGATATTTTCCCAGAAGTTTATGGAAACAGCCCCCTCTGATCTGAGCTGCCTGTTTGAAGCTGTACTGGAGAATAATGGTTTCTCCTTTTCTTCTGCTTTTCAAATTTCACACATGTGTCTCCATTGGTGGGATTTAACCTGGAAACATTTAAGGAAAAGTCTTCTGGAAAATGGAATTATAAGCTTTCTCCCACAGCGCACAGAGGGGTGGCAATAGTGCTAAGTTGACCATGGAAAAGCTGGGGATAGAACAAAGAAGACCATGAACTCCCTGTCCTCATGGAGTGTACTGTCTCCAAGGAGATCTATAAGTGCCATGAGGGAAACACAGGGCTGTAACCCAGAATAACAGGGGCACTCTCTCGGGGCACAGAGAACTGAAAGATGACAAGGAGCCACAGCTATGTGAAGGGTGGGGTGCGATGGGCTTGACTTTCTAGGTAGAGAAGTGGCCAGGACAGTGGGTCCCCTAGCAGAAAAGAGCTTGGTATATTTTTAAAACAACAGGAGATCAATATGACTGGAATTTGGTGGAGCTTGGCATTATTTTATGGTGGAGAGGATGGCAGAGGTTGTATTGTGCTGGGGTTTATAGGACCTAGTGATCAACTGGCATTTTGTTCAAAGTGAAATGGAAATGTTCCTACCCCATGTGGCACCTTTGGGCAAATTAGAAAAGAGCATCCACTTCTCAAAGCATTTCCATCTTGTTGGGAAATTGTTGTAAAATACTTTTAGTAGAACAAGGCACTTCACTGAAATCTGCCAGAGAATACTTGTAATAAATACAAAATTTTGGGGCACCTGGGTGGCTCAGTCAGTTGAGCGTCCGACTGTGGCTCAAGTCATGATCTCGCGGTCCGTGAATTTGAGCCCCACATTGGGCTCTGTGCTGACAGCTCAGAGCCTGGAGCCTGTTTCAGATTCTGTGTCTCCTTCTCTCTCTGACCCTCCCCCATTCATGCTCTGTCTCTCTCTGTCTCAAAAATAAATAAACGTTAAAAAAACATTTTTAAAAATACAAAATTTACAGTGTTCCAATGTGAAAGGCAGTCTTCCAAAGGGTGGGTTGTTCTACTACAACCTGTACAACTGCATATTGCAGCCTCCATGGGGAGTCATAGAAGGCTTTCTGTGGGGAAGTTGAACAATCCTGTGTTGTCCCTCTGCAGAGGGGACACAAGGAGAGGAGAGGATTTCAGATGAGGTGTTTTGCAGGCAGATCCTACAATATTTTAGAAGCAAAGAGACTGGATGAAGGAGATAGGAAAGAGGATGAGATGGTGATGACTCATCAGGTTTGAGGGTAGCAGTGCCATTTTGCTGAGATGGGCACAACTGGGAGAAGACTGGGGCCTATGGGTGGGGAGAACAAAGAAATCAAGGAGTAATTAAAATCCAGGTGTTTGCCATCTCCCCTTGAATGCAACTAAAAGTTTACCAAATTCTTAACTTTTTAAAAAATAAATATCCTTGAAAAACTTACCCATTAGAATCAAGGACAATAATAAACCTTTCAGGTTTATCAAATTGGGTAAAACTCAAATTTTACCAATATTTTCAAGTTCCTCTATGTTTTAAGTATTCTGCCAGAGACTTTACATACCTTATCTCATTTCCTCTGCTCAGCAGTCCATGAGGTAGTTCCCATTTTTATTTCCATTTTATAGAGATGTGAGGCTCAGAGAAAGATCTTATCACTGGATTTGAACAAGGTGCCATGGTTACAGGTCCTAGTCACAAGTTGATCCTACTGCCTTAGTCCCTTGTTTCTTTCAGCTTTATCAGTGCTATCCAAGAGTACATTCTGCAACGATGGAAATATTTTATATCTGCACTGTCCAGTAGTCATGTGGCTATTAAGTACTTGAAATGTGGTCAGTGTGACTGAGGAACTGAATTTTTAATAACTACATGTGGTTAGTGGCTACCATATTTGTCAGTATAGCTCTAAATCAGTGAGGTCCAAAGAGGGTTGTGCTACAACCCAGGGAAGGTACAGAACACGCAGAGTGCAGAAAGAAAACACAATGTTTTACATAATTACTTCTGATTTTTTGTGTGTATGTTTTATAATGTACCTAATATAGGTATACTAGGTATATAATAATAGATGTATATCTGCATACCATATATTATATACATTATTACATATGCAATTCATATACATCCTATACAATAATTTTTATCTAGCACTTACATAGCACTTACCATGTACCAGGCACTATGCTTTACAAACATTAACTCATTTAATCTTCATAATGAGACTATGACATAGATACTTTCATTACAGTTCTTTTAGTTTCTAACTCCATGCATTTTAGGTTAAGCTAAATAAGTACGCTGGGAATGGAGAGAGGGCAAATATGTTCACTGATGGCTGAGTGACCAAAAATGTTTGGTGACTAGACATAGCAATTCCTAATCTCAAAATTTAAAGAGATTTTGGAGATGATCAAGCCCATCTTTTTCCCCACTGAAATGTGCTTTGCACGTAGAGGGATGAGGCTGAATGAAGGTGGGATAGGGTGATGGTTGAGACAAGTGTCCTGGAGACATTTGTACTTGTCTACAGAGACAACCACAGCTAACATGTGAAGATTTGTGTAATGATCCTAAAAGTTTCCCCATTAAAAAAAGTTCATCCTTGGGGCGGGCACCTGGGTGGCTCAGTAGGTTGAGCTCCAACTTTGGCTCAGGTCATGATCTAGTGATTTGTGAGTTCGAACCCCAGCTTGGGCTCTGCGCTGACAGCTCAGAGGCTGGAGACTGCTTCAGATTCTGTGCCCTCCTCTCTCTCTGCCCCTCCCCACTAGCTGTCTCTCTCTCTCTCAAAAATAAAAAATAAAAACATTAAAAATTTTTTAAAGTTCACCCTTGCTAGTTTTGTCCTAGCTACTAATTAAAAAAAAAATTTTTTTTTTTGTTTCTGAGATGTTGAAATAGGAGAGGATAGGAGCCGAAGGCCTAAAGATGATAGAAACCCACATCAAAAGAAAGCGGATCAGGATCAAGGCCTGCTCATGTTCCCTTGGTGGGTGCTCAGTTATGTGCAGCTCGGACGCTGGCGGCTCTAATTCAAGAACTGTCAAACAAAGGTTAAATATTCTTAAATAATACCCAAATCTAATTTACACCTACACACTTTTTGTGTTGAGTATGCCGCAGTCCCCTTTCCCCATTCCTTGTCCATTCTCAGACATCTTTGATATCTCTCCACGTACCCATCAGAGCGCTTAGCAAACAGTTGCTGCGGTATGAGGAAGGGCAGGTTAACCTTATATACTATCATCACTGTTTCCAAGCCTGTTGAAGTAGGTAGATGAGGTTTTGCAGCGTCAGAGAAAAGTTCTGGGAAGACGAGAGTTCTAAGGCAGGCAATAAAGGCATGCCCTTAAAGTGCTGTGCAAAGTACATGGGGTAGGTGTTGTAACCGCAGTTCTTTCGGTTTCAAGAGGTATGGGCTTTAGGGAGAGCAAATGAAACTTGTGATGGGCAGGAACGCCGTGCTAAGCAGAACTAGCAAACAGACGTACGCCCGGACGCCTTTGCGCATCTACATTTACAAAGCCTTTCTTTCCCGCCTGCAGAAAGTTCTTAAGTTCCCTGGGGAGGCCCGTTCGTGGTAGGGGAAAGGGAACCCAGCCTTCCTTCCCTTCTTCCCAAGAACCTCGTAAAGAGATGAACAATCCTTTCCAAAGGAGTGCCAGAGCCAGGCAAACCAGGTAAGCCTTCCCACGTGCACCCGAGGGCTCCGGAGAGCCTGACCGCACACAGAGCGGAGGAACGAACCCTCTGCCTCGGACTGCCTAGGTGGGTGTGTCCACTGCAGAGGCCCCGCCCCCTCGAGCACGTCGCGCGGGCCGCACGGGCGGGGCGAGGGAACAAGCAAGAAAGGGCGGGGGAGTGAGTGGTGTGGGTGTGCTCGTGCCCGAGCGCTCGCGCCTGGCGTGTGGGCGGCGGCGCGCCCGTGTACGCGCAGGGGAGAGGCCAGCCCCGGCGGCCGTTGTGGGGTTCGACTGGAGGGGCGGGGGAGTCACCTGCGAGCGGCTGTGCCGGTCGTCCGCCCGCCCGCCGCGTCCGGATCGCGCCGACTGCGCGGGGCCGCTGGCTGCACACACCCTGGGAAACTGGGGCGGAGGAACGGGCAGAGTCCGCGCCCGGCGCCCGGGACGACGAGGAGTCGGACCTTCGCTGCCGTCGCCGCCGCCCGCGCCCGGCCGGGTAGGTGAAGCCCGAGGTTGGTTGTGCGCCCGTCCCTGGCGGGCCGGGAGAGGAGAAGCGAAACTTTCCGGCGCTTGCCTCCGCGGTCTCCGGGCCGTCTGCGGCGCGGGGAGGTGTCGTCGTCGCGGGCGGCGGCCGACGCCATGTTGGGGTCTGTGAGAAACGGGGCGCTCCCGGGCCGCTCCCCGGCCGCTCCCCGCGCGCTGGCGTTGGCCCGCGGGCGCCAGCAGCGAGCCTCGCCCTCCCGTAGAACACCGCCGCCTGCGCCCGCGGGCTCGGGGGCCGTCCGGAGGGTCCGCGCTGGTGCCTGCCGGGGCCGCGGGATCGCGGGCGGGGGGCGGGCCGAGGCGCCAGCGGGGCCCCGAGGTCCGGCGAGAAGAGAAGTTGCGGGGCGTGAGGACTGGGGTCCGGTTCGCGGCCGGTGGCGTCCTGGGGCCCCAACGTTTTTCTTTCCGAAAAGTTTGCAGTGTCTGGGCATCAGGGACGTTGTAAGTTGAACAGCATATTTTTATGTGACTTGGCAAAATACGGCACCGCAGGATTTGCTCGGATAGAAGCGTTGGCTCCAACGCATTGTTTATTTCGAGTCTTTTAAAGTTGTATGGTCTTCTGCCGAATTTATTTTTTCTTTTTAAAATGTTACGGAGGCCCAACAGCTTGCTGCTCATGTTGCTTGAATTCCCTTGTGTGTTCTTTCATCACAGCAATCACTTGTGAGTGTGCGATGGCAATGGTAGTATTAAGGTTACAGATAACTAAGCCCTTTTGTAAGACTCACAAAGTATGTAAGTTGTTAAATAGCTTCTTTGTTGTGTTTTATAGTACGTTACAGAGGAGACTAAAGAAAGACTTACGAACTTTGAGAGACTTACAGGCACGTGTCCTAAGGTGAAGTGATCTTGCCTTTACGAAGTTTTTTTTCTCCTTTTCATTTTTTAAAGGTGCATGCCTGCCATGTTTTGAGCATTTACCTTTTTTTCTGTATTCTCGTGGCTCACGGGGTCCTCAGGTTAATTCAGTATTAACGAAGGCTTCTATTTTTAATCTATTTGGGTCCTGACGGCGCTGGAGGTGAATGGTATTAAGTTTCTGTCCTTAATTGGAAAGCACATGCTATCGCCTCAAAAAATAAAACTGGTGTACTCACCAGGGCATCAGAGATTCAGCTTGAATTACCCCAGTAAATGAATGTAAATTGATATTTTTAAACAGAGGCATCTTAGCTTTAAAATTCTGTTAAATGAACTGAGGGGACTCTTAACCACAAGTTAAATAAACCCTAAATCATGTCTTGGAGAATTTCTTTTCTTAATCTAGAGGTAAAGATAGTTTCTGCTCAGATTTGGTTGCTAATTTCCTTAGTTCTTAAAAAAAAAAAAAATCCTTTTTGTTTTGCTTCACTGTCAAGTAAACACCATTATACACATTTGTTTTTCTGGATGAAGAATTAACCTAGAAATGAGGTGACTTAACTAACGTCACAGGTCTAGCAACCAAACTGGTATTTAACTGAGGTCTTTAGGATTCTGAAGCCTTCTTGTTTTTCCTATAGCATAACTTTGTAGAATACATAACTCACAGTTGTGGAGCAGTCTCTGTCCACCTTGTCTCCTCTGTCTTTGCTGCTCTTCTTGATTTTAGTTCTTCAGTATACTTATTTCCTAGAGAGCTGACTGACAGGGGTTCTTGTGGTGAAATTTTCACTTGAGCCTAACTTTTTGAAACCTTTCCTATGCTGTTCTCCTTACCACACCCCCTTTTTCTCCCCAAGAATAAATCACTTATCACATTGCATTCCAATAAATATTACATTGATCTGTCTTGGCACCTCCTTGACCACAGACACCGCACGGAATCTGATTTACGTCTTCATCCCCAGTGTGCCGAGAACACAGCAGATGCTCACTCAGTAAAGGTTTGAATGGATGAAGACACATATGTCCCATATAAATGTACTTCATGAATTTCTTATTAAATTGCCCTTTCCATGGGCATAGAAGTTAAATCTTCTCTAATGCCTCTTTCTTTTTTTCTTTCTTTCGGAATTTGTTAACTCAAATTTTGGCCTAGGGATACAGAACGTGAATGTTTATGAAATTTCCATGTAGATAATGGGCTGAAGTATAATCAACAAAGAAGAAGCAGTGTGTCAGCAAAAGAATAATCATTTTAAAGTGTAAAATAGAGATAATGCCTGATAAATTTGAAGGTCATGTTTATACATTGAAGCTCTTTGGTAGAGCAACTCTCATTTCTCTGTCAATTTTTCAGAATTGTCTTAAAATTTTGGTTTAGAATGCCTTACTCAATGCAAAGCATTTAAAAATTGCTTTTCTATTGATAAGCTTATCTTTGAGAACTGGCTTTGTATGCCAGCTGCATGCTTAATAGCAATGTTCTTGCTGGCTTAACTGAATAAAGTATATATGTAGATACACTTTTCAGAGTGCTGTTTCAAGTTGCAGATTTCTCTGGGTGAAGGTGTTTAGTAATTCTATAATGAAATTACTGTAGAATTTGGGGTCAGTTTTCTGCCCCCATCTAAAGTTAACTTTCTCTCCAATTGATCCATAAACCACAAACTGGTATGCTCAATTTGGGAGGCATTCAAGTACTTGCTGTGAGTGCTAGAGAAAGCAGGTTGCTTACATGATAGACTTGAACAAATAACCAACAAATTTGAGTTCTAGCTCTTCTCCTTACTAGCTTGTGACTCCTGAACAAGTTGCTTCATTTCTCTAAACTACACTGGACTCATTTTTGAAATGGACACAAATATTGTTGTGAGGATCTACTAAAATATGTTTGTGAAAGTGCCTGGTGCATGATAGTAAGTTATATTAGCAAATGAACAAAGTGGCTGTCATTTACATAGAATCATAGAATTTTAAAAGGAAGCAACCTTTAGAAATAGGCAGTTTAGTTCTCAGCCTTGCCGGCACATTAGGATTCCCTGAGGAGCTTCTTAAAAATACTGATGCCTGAACTCCACCCTAGAACAAATCAGAATTACTGGGTTTGGGGTCAGGCATAGGTAGTTTTGTCTGTTTTTGTTTGTTTGTTTGTTTTGTTTTTTTTAAACCACCTGTGATTTTAATGTTCAGTCAGAGTTTGAGAATCATTGATTTAATTCATTATCCCATCTCCTTATTCTCTTCATTTTGTGGTTGAATAAAATGCAGAGAGAAGTTAAGTGCCACCCAGATTCCTATCTCTCAGGCTGAAAAGGATGTATCTGAGTCAAAGGAAAGTAAAGGATTACAGAGGTTAAAGTAACAGTTATAGTCATTTCAGACCATAAAGGTGGGCCACATTTGTAACTACAGTTCACTAACTCCAGTGACCTTCACCTCTACTCTACATCAGTAACCTACGTGGATGACTGAGTTACTTAACCTTGTCATCATCCTTAACTACCTCAAGTCTTAAAATCACCAGAGGTGATGATGATTCAAGAGCCCGTGTTTCTGTTTTCCATCATACCTGATGAACCAGCTTTGTGTCCTCATTGTCACCTCCCAGGCTGTTATTTTTCTTCCTTCTTTCCAGTGCTGAACCTTGTAGTTCATATTCTGTGAACTCGCTAGCACCTCATATTCTTCTCCTTGACCTTTGCTGTGTATAACTGGTCAATTTTCAACCTGTAAATACCACCATTTCCTTTTTCTGCCTAGCACTCCTGATAAAAGTCACAGCTTTGGTAACTGTTAAATATTTCTTTTCCAGCTGCCTGTGTACTAGTTGCTTTCTAATCCTTTTCTCATCCCAAAGTTGACTCATTTTCTCTGTTGTGTTTTTACTTTAACTCAGGTTGCTAACCCCAATCTTGAAATTGTTGACTCTTAGAGATGAACATGCTTCCTTCTAATATGATTAAGATTTTGTGATGTGAATTTTCTATTTTCCTCTTTGTATCAATTTCATCTTTTTTTCTTTACATTTTTTGTAAGTGGAGCTATCCTTTTTTTTTTAATTTTTTAAAAAAATATTTTTATTTTTTTTTAAATTTTTTAAAAAAAAAATTTTTTTTCAACGTTTTTATTTATTTAT